GTACCAGGTCAAAGGTGAAGCCATTCCCGTCGTAGGGCTGCAGCCCTACGGGTTGCCAGATAGGGAACCGCCAGAGCGGTACTGTATTTAGCAAGGTGCCACGCACAGAGATTATATAGATCTCTGTGGCTGGATCGAGAGCTTGTTTCCTTCCTTTCTTTTTCTCTCCATGTCAAATATTCTCGTGTACGTGTACCTCATTGTATGTAGCTCAGCTCAGCAATACAGTAAGATTGACCCTTTCACAGATACCAGGGTCATGAAAACTATGGCGCATCAGGGTATTATAACTGCAGAACATCTAGCATTTCTTAACAGCATAATAATAGTACATGGTAAAACTCTTAAAGCTAAGTATCAGCGTTAGATTAATACAATAGATGTGGGCGCTGTGTTTTGTGGCGTGGAAGAAGGTCAGCCTACGCGTCAATCAAAGCAACTGTGGGTTCGCTTCTGCACATGTGCATACAAATAGCTTAGTAACCAATTGGTAAAGTCATATTCTTCTGATTGTCTGTCTCTTCTTCAAGATATCTGACACTGACGTGTAAGGGATTCCTTGTGTAGTATTGGAATCTTTTGGTACTAGTCCGAACGGGGTTAGGCTCTGATAGGAGTTGTACAATTTGGGTGAGGAATAATTGACTCTGATTTGCACGTCTTCTAAAACATAGCTAACTATACATCTTGATCCTCTTTATATACACATCATAGTGGCAAAGTATCACGGATTTACGGGATAAATGACAATCCTGACTCCAAAATGTAGGCTTGAGTTTGGCTCTCATGTTCTCACGGATATGTCGTTATTCCGAGGAATCATGATTAGTAATGACATCCTGATTGGGATTAGCGTATCAAATATCCAACATGTAGCCTTAGTCACGTGATGTTATCACGTGACGTCAACTATCTTGTTAATGTGCTGGTTGTTGTTATTGGTAATCTAAGCTAACGTGTTTCACGGGTAAACGGCGCACCCGGGTAAGTGGCACAGCCGCATCCCACTTGGTTCAAAGAACTCGTACAATTTATATGCAAACAGTGAATAAATTAATATTTACCTATGTAGATATATTTGGACAGCGATTGCGCTTATGCCCTATTTCCCAGCAATTACTACACCTTGGGGGGGCCCGTTGAGCTGGCTGCAAAGGCGCGCTCCCGTTGGGTGGAGGAGGGGGTTGAGCCTCTTCAGGAAGCTCCTGAGCAAGCTCTCGGCCTTCAGCGACTGTCAAAATACCATCGGCTTGTAGGGCTTTTGTACGGCGAGTGCGGCGCTTCTGTAAAATATCATTTGCTTCGCGTAGGTTATGGTTCTCCCTAGCTAAAATGGCAGCTTGGTGCATCACTACAAGGGATCCCTTGATCAACTGGTTAAAAGCCGGACACGATGGCGAATTGCTGTCTAAATCTCCCATATTGAGAGATCTCTTGACAGATTTGGCCTGTTTTTCTAGCGTACGGGCATTGTAAGGCGTTTTTGGGCTCCAGGTGCTGCTGCTTGACGTGCTAGGGCGAATTGAGGCTGGAGTAGCCTCCCGGACAGCAATT